TAAGAATATTTAAATGGTTCAAGGTTATTAGAATCATATTATTTGTAACTTATGTCGAAAGGCTTGAAGGATATTTGTCGAAAAATAGTCGCCGTTGGACGGAATTATGCGTACTTATGTGGTTAATAAATACACGTTTTTAGAGAACATGCCAAAGAGTTAGGAAATAAAGCTGAATCTTCACCCGTTATATTTTTGAAGCCTGCTAGTTGTATAATCGAAGAAGGAGAAAAAATTAAAGTTTTTTCATTGTTAACATTAATCATATATGGTGCATATTTAGATACCATATGGGGCAAGCGAAATCCACCATGAAGTTGAACTTGGTTTGGTTATTGGAAAATCACTGAAAAACGTTAAAAAAGAAGAAGTAAAAAGTCTCAATCATTTTAAACTCTGTATCTTTCCGCTTAGTCCCATCTGGTGGTAAATGCAGTTATGCAAAATCAGTTCGTCTGTATACTTTCAAGTGGCGATGGTACTGAATACACACCTAGATGATTAAAGTAACTAAGAGTCCGGAAATAGTAAACAAAACTAAGCTTTAATACGAATGATTGACTACTAGACTAGATTAAAACGATTAAAGAATTCGCCTGTCATTAAAAAATTAGACATACCATAATGCCATTGGAATTGTAAATAACACTAGTATTTGAGTGACTAGCAGTTGTGCTCCATTGAAATGGTCCAAAATCCTAATGTAATGTAACGAGTATCGAGTTGTATTGGATGTGTCCATCAAATTATATTGAACCAAAATGTAGTAAGTCAGTCTCTTCACTTATCAATTTATCTTAATTACTAACTGTTCAAAAAAGTGAAAAAAATCAGATAGGCAAACAGATATACAGGAACTCCGAATTAGTTATCCCACTGGGAGTACGATAATCAATAAGGCTGAATTCAAACTCTTAACAGTCACATAACTGCCTTGATGTTTTATGGTATAGATCAGTGTATAAATGTATTGCTTCTATATTTCTGCGTTCAGCACCATATTTACTTAAATAAATTCTAGTTTTTTTTGTTTTATTTAGGTTTATTCTGCAATATTAGGTTATGTAATCGCTTTAGATCTAACTGACCGACCATTGCAGAATCAACTGAAAGCAAACGGACTACCATGGACTTTAGCTAAATGCTTTGATACAGCATGCCCTGTCGGGCCAATTCTTCCTTTAGAATCACTACCAGCTGGTATTTTGACTTCCTATCAAGAATTTCAAAAAGTAAACAACGAAATTTGGTTAAAAGTAAATCAGTCAGAAAGACAACGATCTAAATTGAATAAGATGATTTGGGCACCAGCTGATTTAATATCAATAATTACTCAGAGGATTTCATTACAGTATGGTGACTTAATTCTAACTGGTACTCCTGCTGGTGTTGGTCCACTAAAGTCTGGAGATAAAATTGAAGCAGGAGTGGACAATATCTGTTCTATGAAATTTAGTGTAGAATAACGATTATATTCTGATTTAAAAGATTGTTTTTCTGTGAAACTTGTCAATGCTTAAATGTATGGTAGTAAAACATAATTTTTTAGAAATCTTTTTTCAGCTTTAAATTACGATTGTTACTGGGTTCAGATTATACATTAGTTAGTTGACAGTTTTTTTTAAAGGTATCGTGTAACTAGTGTATCAGTTAACTAGGCTTGTTAATAGTCATTGTCATATCGAATCTTATGACATGTTCTGCTACATGGTCTTATCAATATCATATAACGAATGCTCATAAATAGTCGATGAGTTAGGTTAACTAGTAAAGTGTTTAATTAGCTTTAATTAACTGTGTAGAATTAGTTCTGACATTTCGGTCTGAACTTAAACACTTATATTATATCCTGACCACAATCATTTGGAAGTACTGATTAGGAGTAAGACTGAGAAATGTCTGACTTTTTGAATGCTCAGCCAGATGTGTTTATAAATCCATAGTGGTCCTATTTCTCTAATATCAGCACTCCTATTATATCCGTCATTAGAAGTCGTTCAATATTTTTTGTGACATGGGATAAACATCCCTACTGTGCAAAATTCCTTCTATTTGGTAGGTATCAACGTTTACAAATCGTATCATTGGTTGATAAGTGTAGCATAATATCCAAGGTAACATATTACAAGTCATCAGTGTGTTTAGGTTAGCAGAACTTTTCGAATACAGAGCTTATGATCCACTAACCTCAATCTATTTACTGTTATTAATGATATTAGCGTTGGTAGGTAGTATAGATACGTCATTTCACAGATATGTAACGTTTCTCAAAGTACTTCAGACGCTTGCCAAAAGTATTCTAATGAATCTATTGATATGTTTTCTGTGGCTACACTGAAAGCATCAGAACCAAGTAGATAGTAGTACTTTTGTGACTAGATGTGAATGTTGATTCCTTCCAATTATATAGGCACTGCTTTTAAATAGCTATGAAACCATATTTAACGGTTGCTGTTATTTGAAATGATCCTTACATTGTTTATTAGATTTGAATGAAGATGACTAAATGAAATGCACAACTTATGTTGGTTTTTATTTTTCTAAAGAACTTTATGACCTACAATGCTCAAGAAAACCACTAAGTTAACGTATACGTCAAGTATCGGATGCGATCAATTAGGGTTCTAATCATCGCACTTAGGAATTTTAAATCTGTAAGGTTATTTTTGATGTTGAAGACCTTAGAAGTTACGTTAAATAAACTCAGCTATTCAAATTTTCTTTACATCTTAGATTATCTCTAGCTAGACCCTCGATTTAAGCCAAGCACCAGACAATTATTAAGGGAGTGTGTATTTCTGACCCTGTTAGAGACTGAGTTTACGATCTTCAGTCCGCTCCACCATACTTTGTGGCTGTGAAACATGGCCAGTAAGGGTAGAGGATATCCGTAGGTTACTAGTTTTCTGATAATAGGTGTCCTCGAAGCATTGTTCGTATATTCTGAGACCACCGAGTACACAATGCTGTTGTTAATAAATAAGTACTATGTAGGGATAGCAAGTCAATTGATGAAATGCTAAATCTTCGTCAGTTTAGGTGGTTGGGACATGCGTTACGTATGTCCAACCACCGACTGTGTTGATGAGCTACTTTTTGTAGTGTAGAGGTAGGTTGGAAGGAAGCTGAGAGTGGCCAAACCAGAACTTGACACAAATCCATGAATTCACTGACGAGTACAAAGTCATGTTAGTAGGTGTAGACTACCTGGTGAGGTCTGCGATGTGATTGTAACCGACGATTACTGACCTTGAATGACACGACTAAAAACCACTTGCAGCGGCGCAGGTGTATCCATTGTTTGTGTTTCCTCAAATACCAATCCTCATCACCGTTATCTCTATTTTTTAAGTTTTTTTTCAATAGCTTGTACTTCTTGAATAGTATCACCGAACCCTAATCTTCTCTATTATTGGTCATACGTCTACCGCTAAAATTTTATTACCTCTACTACAATGGGATTTGAATTGACAATTCGATCTGTGTGCCACAGTAGTATAGTTACTTGAATTGATGTACGCACGTACAAAGTTCTACGTTGTAGCTGAATGACTGACTAATGACGTTAATGAAACCTGCCAACTAATACAGGTTTCTCCCGATAAGATGTGGATGCCGTTTATAGAGAACTGTTTAGCCAGTTTTCCGAAAAATCGAAGTTCAGCAAGCAGAGTACGCATATGAGTATCAAATGTTTGTTGTACTTAGTTGAATTTACTTAGAGCTAAGAACCATTCCGAAGAACCAGAAACTACAACTTTTACGTCCATATTGACAGACAACACTTCTAAATTGGAGTTGTGAATCAGCAATCGTTAGATCACCAGTAGAAACCTGGAAGCACTGGACGGCCGTTTCGTCTTGGTATGAGACTCCAGTAGTGCGCATCCACGACTCTCGTAAGGATCCAGCCTAGGACCTTCCGTCTTGCGCGCTAATGATCAACCTAAGAACCGGCATCCGACTGTGTTAATGTCTAACACTGATCAGTTTAAAGGTTATGTAGTGAAAAATCATAAGACGTGATCCCTTGTGAGGAAATTCTCCGAGTTCTGGTGAGAAGCATCCGGCGCCGTATTAGTAAGCATATAAAACATTCGGCAGTTCTATATTAGGACGTCTTGTAAACTCAAGATTTATTTTGACAGGGACATATATTACCGGCCTGCACGCTGCACAGGCGTTCGTAACTCAATTTCTGGGAATTGAACCCAACATGCACTAGGCTACAATACCCACTTAATACACGAGACTCCTTGTTCAGAAAGTTAATTCTTACTACTAGTTATCATCACCCTCTTCTTTACATTTCTGGTACTCATTAAGTAATCAGTTGCCTTTCATATATCTGGTCTTCGGCAACTCCTGATTGCTATGCTATCTCTTTTGACACGGAATGTGATTATCCCCCGCACACAACTGAATCTTGACAGGATTTCCAACAGGTGCCAACCTTGGGAGTCTCGTATGCGATGACTCCATGTGTAAACATTTATCCCTCAGTTAGAGACACTACCGTCAGTCATTATGCAAAAACACACGCATAAACGTGGTAAGTCGACAGCCTGAGCTGTTAATCCGTTAGTGAGATTCGGATCTAGCCTATTAATGGAATACTAGGACTTCATCGCTCGTTACGTAGGGTGGTTCACCAAGCATCGTCTTCCTACCTGACGAGTATAGGAATCTTAATGTCGTTTAGGGTCATCGTTTTTAGATATAGGAGCTAGCGCCAAAACGACAATACGATTAGTATCTACCGTGTCAGCCGCGTGCTGTTATCGGTAACAGCGCGCGACCGACACTATGAATCGGCGTGTAGGTTACGTATGTTATGCTTATCAAAGATGGGTGGTGGCAGTAAGCTAGGAAATTGGTTTGCGCACTCTACCGATCTTTGAACACTGGTTAAGGCATTTACCTCACGAACTACTTACCATCAAAACTTATTAACTAGTCAAGACGCGACAAGTGATTGTCAGAACAAAAAAATCATAATTAGGTTCGAGATCATTTATTTATAGTTTCACTTTTTTACAGCCTTTTTGGTAGGCTTTGCTACCTTGCCCACGGGTTTCTTCAATTTGAACTGTTTTAAAATGTTGTTGCGCTATAAAAAGAAAGATGTGGTTTAGATTCGGTTTACAATTAATCAGAAAATTGAAATCATCAAGAAGCGCAGACGGCTCTTCCAAAATCTCATCACAAAAAATAATGAAACTCAACTCACCTGCTTACGGGCTACCATAACCTTGAACCGGTCGAAGTCGGTCATGGCTGCTCGCAAAGACTTGCGATGAAGCTTTCGTGCCCATACAGTGTTTTCCCAATCCTTGGTTATGTCGAATTTTTTCCAATGTTTTTCAACTGAATTGGTCCCACATCCATGAGGAAACTTGTATTTCAATTTCGTCAAGTGGAGTCTATTCAAGTTTATTTCTTGTCTTGGGACACCTGAGCAAGGTCCATCGATAAGGACACGCCTTTGGTCAATTATTTCTACAATAATTGCGATCTTTTTGGCATAAGGTCCAGAAGCGATGAATACAACGCGACCAGCTTCGACAAACCTTGTGAAGTTCACCATGAGCGTATGAAATACTCTGAAAAAATTAAGAGATATGATGTGGACGTTCACAATGGTCAAAGAAAATTAAACTACACTTAAGATGACTATTTGCATATAAATTATTAAGTCCAAGTGCTTATTACACAATAAATTTCAAGGAAGTAATCAAAGCATATCAAATGCAAGCCATTGGTATCCACAGATAAGCATCACTTGAGAAATCAACCCATATTTAGGTAAAAATCTATCAAATACATGAAAACAGCTCCTACTAATATACATGAGTAGTTAGAACATTACGTATCCAAATACCTAACGGCAAAATATTTCCTTAACCAATAGATCACGACTATAAAGTAAAGGTCGCCAGGATGTTTGCAAACTCATTAAAAAATTAATCTAACCAAGTCACTTGTGGTCGACACAACCTTATCCTTGATATTATGATTTCACTGAAAAACAATCTTAAAACTACGAATAACCTTATCTGTTTGCTGAAAACACGCAATTGTCTAGCTAATTTATGTAAGTCAGCAACATAAAAATGTTTGTGGGATGAATGTCAGAGTGGGAGGAATCAAGCAACCTACACCTAACTCCAGGTATGTGAACATAAAATTAACGATTATCTAGAGAGCAATACAGAAGTTGTAGACGAGAAAACTGGCTGTACCAAGACAGAACTCGGAAAAATTACCTGCATGAATTAAGACTGTTTTCTGGCAACTACATTTCTGTAGTGTAACTACCTCCACTCAACCACTCGGCTTGTGACTCCTTACCTTTGCAACTAGTGTTCGCACGCAACTCAAGCAGCAGCCTGTGCACGCGCATGGTGATATTAAAACAATTGTATTCAATATCCAATAAAATATCTCGATCACGAGCTGACATAAAATAATTGTTTTTTGGCTCTTAGGTCTCGATGTTATACAGTTTGCTTAGGCCTTTGAGATCGTTCAAAGACGTGATATAATTGACTAGACTTGTGAATTTATTGGGAGGTGAAAATCAGTGGTATGCGTTTAAGCCACCAAATCGGTTGTTAGATGAAATGAAAAGGTTCTTTTTCAATCAGCTTGGTGACCTGTTAGCTATGGATCATGAATCGTGGGTGAGACAGATCTCAGTAATTGAGATGAGGAAGTAGGAAGGTGTTTAAAATCAACTTATTTTGTGTACAAATTTTTCTATTTTCCACATTTTCCGTAATTCCACTTCATCTGTATAATCACTGTCATTTACTGCAAAGATGTTGCCCTAGTTCGATCCTTATCCTTTTTCAAAGTTTGTTCAGAACTTCAGTATCATACTGATTACTGCTTGCAAATAAATTGCTGCTTGAACGCTTAATTTTCACTTCAAGCTGCCGCGCGAATAGATCTCTTACATAACTATTATCTGCGCCCACAGATCATATCCATCCTCCTAGTGTTCGATTATCTATATTATATTTGGGTAGTATTAGTTATTCTTTTACGATAGTGGATTGAATGTTCGAAAAGACCAGAACGTACGTCCTGCAGATAAACTGAGTAACGTCCCATATTATTTTTTTTAGATAAACTTACACATGTTTGAGTGTCATTGATTATTCTGTATTCCTCTTGAAATAACTCTATCTTTTATAAACTGTTGTTCCGCCACAGACGCCACGGATATTCTGAGTTGGACGATCCTGTCGTCCGTAACACCTTACAGATTGAGAATACCCGAAGCCAGGCAAAACCAGAAGCAAGAAATTAAAATGATCGAATATATATTTGAATAAATGATGCTTTAGATGTTGAGGAGTGAGTGAACTAAGCCTACCAGGTGATGCGGCGAGATGTATTGCGCGGCGTACTCTACAGTTACCTAGTGCGGATGCGTGATCGAGCCCTTGCAGCTAGAGGTGTGTCCGCTGAAAAGGATGAAGTTGGCAGCATTGCCTAAGACTTGAAGAACTATTTAGTTTGAGGATTTATTAAACACTATGGAGGCGTTACGAAGTAATTCTAAATTACTTTTCTGGCCTATGAGAAACATACCAAACATCCCACTGAGAATACCCTACGGTTCAAAATGTCGCCACTTCACTACGCGCAACGCCTAGAAGATATGCACTCAGTCAATCTAACTGCTCGGTACCTTTCATTTCAAGTGTTTCCCCTAAGGACTGCATGGGAACCGAACCTGGTCGAGTTTTTGGGGGTGCTCAGGGGTTTCGAGGATGAAACGTCAAAACTGAGAGGCATATACTGTATTAGGTAAAGAATTAGTGATTTAAAGCGTCCTTCATTAGGACTACATTTAATTCCCCGAAATCACACTTTTAGGTGCTCTTAAGTGCGATCATGTCCATACAGAATGAAGTATAATATACTGTATTATAAAACTTTAAATAATGTTTAGCTAATCTGTTAAAATTAAGTGAAGATTTCTGATCTGAAACTGAATAAAAATGCACTCCAATATTAATAGTGCAAGGTTTGCTGTTGATGCATATCTCACAGTTATTGTAAGACTGTAGGTCGTTTTCAACTCGCAAGACATCTGGGAGAGGATTCTCTCGGCTGTATATGGTTTCAATTTGTGGAAGTGTTTAAATTCCATCGCTGTGCATTTTGATCAGATCCTGTTGAGATGACAGCATATCATGTTGGTTGCAAACTTCCCTTCAGAGTTAACCGTCATCACTGAAGCATAATATTAAAAAGAAAACTTACTGTTGAAATTTTGCTAACCTTACAGAGTCGATTTCTTCGACATCTCTTTGGTTGTCTGAAGGGAATGGAACTATATCGACAGGGTTTAAAAACTGCATCACAAACTCTTCGATTGGTCATATAAAGTGAAAAAACAATGGAGAGGTTATGTAAGAATTTAGTGTTTTGCCTCTGTGTTGAGGCAGCAAATTAAAACCTGTGGAGACAGATAACTCTAAGTAGGATAGCGGAGGTTTGTCCCGAATATGTTCCAGATAGAGGATCACACACTATAAATTCAGGAATAGTGGACTAATCATCACTTGTAGATGCATACTGACGATTCTGGAGCCACGCCTGTTACGTCTGTTACCCTTTAATGATCGTAGGCCACGACCAGTGTTCTTCAACTTACTCGTCTGTTCTGGGCTTCCCTATCCAACTCTATCCAATTCTTGTTCATTCTTCTCATTTCTGTCTCCATTTCTCGGCGTAATGTGTTTCATGGCCCTCTTATTTTCCTTTTGCCTTGAGTGTTTCAAGTGACAACTTCTCTTGTGACGCAGTTGGGTGTTTTTTTCAGTATGTGTCCCATCAACTTCCACCGCTTCTTCGCGACTCCCCCCCTCCGATGGAGTCCGGTTAGTTCTTTCCCACAATAGGATCTTGCTGATAGTGTCTGGCCAACGAATTCGAAGTATTTTGCGTAGACAACTGCTAAGGAATACTTGTGTCTTCTGGATGATGGCTTTCGTAGTTTCCGCTCCATACCGTAGAATTCTCTTGACATTTGCATTGAAAATTCTGATTTTGGTTTTGGTTGAAAGTTTTTTGGAGTCCCAGATATTTTTCACCTGTAGAAATGCAGCCCTTGCTTTGCCGATCCGCGCACTCATATCTACATCTGATCCACCTTGATTGTCGATGATGCTGCCCAGATATGTGAGTCCATCAAGGTTGATTTAGTTGGCGCATGTTCTGTTGCATCACTCTATGTATGTTGAGACCTACTGCTGCTGAGGCTGCTGCTACACTGGTCGTCTTCTCTTGGATTTGTTGTTGCGTAAGAGATAGAAGAGCCAGGTCATCCGAGAAGTTCAAATCGTCCAGCTGTGTCCTAGCTGTCCATTGAACACCATGCTTCTGTCCAGATGTTGACGACCTCATAATCCAGTCGATCACCAGGAGAAAGAGAAAGGGTGAGAGTAGGCAACCTTGCATGACACCCTAACCGCTGTCCTCCGTGCACAATTTTGCAGTTTAATTCGTCATAAGAATTCCTTATGATGTTAACTATCTTCTCAGGCACGCCATAGAGTCGCAGAAGCCTCCATAGTGTTTTACCGTTCACGCTATTGAATGCTTTCTCTTAGTCAACGAAGTTGATGTATAGTGGTGAGTTCCATTCACGTGATTGTTCCTCAACGATCCGTGATGTTACAGTTTGATGGGTAGACGATCGATCCTTACGAAACCCAGCCTGCTGGTCTAGAAGTTAGGTGTTCACGAAGTTCTTCATTCTGTACAACAATACACCGAAGACTTTGCCTGGTATTGAAAGAAGAGTGATCCCTCTTGTAGAATCCTTTTTGAATGTTTTGTTTTTTGGAAAATCCCTCCATGTTTACATATTTTTGCTATGACATGACGGACTTTTTCTGTTGACATTTTTGGTATTTTATTTGATTCCAATTTTTATCATTGTATATTGTTATTCTTTCTATATTTTGTCCTTCTTGATTTGTGTGGACCTGGGACTGGGAGAATCGTACAGGAGTGCACCTATTGGAACCCATTGGAACGGCCACTGTAGAAATTCATTTACAGTCTGGAATTATCTATTACATTTTGATTGGAAGACCAATTAAAGTTGGATTATTAAGAATTATAAAGAAACATTTGGAAATTTAATCGTTTATCACACTAGACTTTCTTGAAAGAAGAATTTTGGATTATTTATCATATTTTCGTATTCGAATTGTATCTTGGAGGAAGAAATTTTGATCTTGGACATTTTCCTTGAACTGATCTGTGGAATTACTATATTTTGTATTTGTTATTTTTATTCCATTGAACTTCATTTATGATGTCAAGTCGTAAGAAGTCAAACATGAGGAGGGTGGAAGAGCTCGACGGATCCCAGAACTCTAAGCAAGTCGTTAATGATGAACTTTTTATGGGTAACCCACATGTTATGTCTGATACTTATTATTGTAAGTCACCTTTGGCAGGCATTAAGGAACCAGGATTAAGTGAGAGTTCTAAGGTACCAGAGACCGATCAGATGCTTAGGACACCGATAGTAGGTTTAGAACTACCTAAGGTTGAACTTTCATTTTTTGATGGAAAATCTCGCGACTACTTTAGGTTCATGCGTCAAATAGAAACGTTTATAGAACCAAGAGTAAAAGATGACCAAGTGCGTTTATTATATTTAATTCATTATTGTAAAGGAAGGGCAAAAAATGCGATTGAAGGCTGTATTATAATGGATCCACAAGCAGGATATAAGAGAGCTAAGGCCATCCTAAAACAGCTCTTTGGACAGTCGCATGTAATAGCCCGGGAAACCTTAGAGGACTTATTTAGAACTGGGAATGCAGATTTTAATGATCCTGAATTATTGACGAATTTGGCTATTAAAATGCAGAATGCTGCTTTAACCTTAGAACATCTAAATTGTACAACGGAACTTAATTCCTTGGTTACTTTAGAACGAATAGTCAGGCTCTTACCTCGTCGAATGCAAGCCCAGTGAGCAGAGCAAGGAATCAAGTGGGACGAAGAGGAGAGAGAGCCTAATTTCAATGATTTGACGGAATTTATTATGTCTCGTGCTAAGATAGCTGGTAGTAGGTTCGGAAGATTAGCTTATCGGGCTAAAACAGGAAATAATACGGAAGCTACTAGTGGTCTGCGTGCGAGACATGAGGATTTTTCGTTTCTACCTAAAGCACGCTCGGAAGATAAGAGAGTTGTCAATTATATCACGAAAGCATACGCTGATGAAGGACGAGTATGTGACCGTAACGATGTAAAACCTCTTGATGCGTGTCCTAGTAAGAAGCCGGTTGGTGTAACAGATAAGATGGCTTTTCTAAGTATGGAAAAGAAAGAAAAAGGTGAAAAGTGTAGGCATCAAGATGGATCCGAAGTGTGTGATGA